TGTAGGTGAGGGGTGTCAGGAGCTCAGGGTGGGGTATGTTGGTTGGTGAGGGGGCTTCGCAGTGGCTTTCTGAACGCTTGGCCAGGAGGGGAGGGGGCTTTTGGATTCCCCCTCTGGAATCCCTGATGCTCCCCATGGGTTTGCGGGAAAGAAGGGGACTGAACCTCCCAAGGAGCAGGGAAAACAATCAGGGTGCGTGGCGGGGGGGGGGGGGGGGGGCATTTGCTCGCTGACCACCCCATCCTGAGCCGTCAAGGTGTCGAAGCTGATACCAAAATCACCCACGCAGCGCCGGGCAGAATCGCCTCGGGGGAGAATAAGCAAGGGAATGAAAGGCCCCGGGTGTTGCAGGCGAGAGCTTGTCAAGTTCCTTTCCCCGGGGTACAAAGGCCGGGCAGCTTGATTTGTGGGGAAGGCAGTTCTGTGACAAATGGGGAACTCGGCGAAACTATTCAGGTCTCCCCCCACCCCGGTCCCTCAGCAGCTGAAGTTGAGGCCGTTTGAATAGCGAGCGCGGGGGCGAGGGGCTCGTTGTCGTCGGTGCGCTGGAGCGGTTTTAATCGGAGGCAAGTGTCTTTGCAGAGAGCAGTAGCGGAGAGGAAAGAAGCAGGTGGCGATTTCTGGCTTTCCCAAACCCGTATCTAGCGCTGAATGGCCACGCTTGGCGGTGACTAAACAGAAAACTTGCGTCAGTGAATACTCTGCTGCTCGCAATACTTCTCCTGGCTTTTTTTTTTTTTTTTTTTTCCCCTGTTTTCAGGGAAGTCTGTTTCTAAAATGCAGTGGTTATCTTGTCAGGTCTACCCGTATTTGATAATCTGTCGCTGATGTCACGCTAAATTCCTTTGTAAAACTAGCCATGGCGTTGTGCTCCCGTTCAGTTAGGAGCACGTGCTCGCTGAGGATAAGTATTATTTGTGCGCAATTTCTTTTTTAGAACTGTTTAAGGAGATAATCCCCTAAAGATCTCTGCAGCTGGTTTACGGCTAATGAGCCTTGGAGGGCCCTGTGGTGGATGCGGAGGAACTCCTGGGCATGCTCGGTGGAGTTGGGTGCTGCTGACAAAGTTGCTTATCTTCTGCGAAAGAGATAACGCGAGGGATCTGCACAGGAGATGAGTCAGAGGAGCGATAGCCCACAGGGGTGTTTGTGCCAGTTTGCGGTTGGCTTCGGAGCGAGAGGGTTACGTGCCGCGCGGGGGCACCTGTAGAATTTCGGCCTTCCAGTGGCTGAGCTGTTAAAAAGACATGGACGTGGGTTATGTCCCTTTGTAAGACCATTCCGATTCCTTTGGGACTGGAACCGAGCGGGTCACGATGGTTTGATTCCAGCGAGTCGCGCAGGACATCCCCGAATCGCAGAAGCATCCGAAAAGGCCCTCGGTTATTCGCTTCGTTCGCCCATGCTGCGGTCGTAGCTTGTCTTAATGGCACTGGAGGTTTGCTCCCGGGAAAACACACCTGCATTTTGATTTTGTGGAGACCTTTGGAAGATTTATGCCGGGGGGATATCGACGTTGGTTAGATTGCGAGAGATCCATCAGCCTGGACGAGCCCACGCTGTGCGAATTCCTGATGTGCAGCATAACCTCGGACTGGCTGTTGATAGCAAATAGAATGGTTCCATTAACGTGTCATATAATATTTGTGGTCCCTCTCAAATCCTTTCACGAGTTAGGCAAAATTTATGTCTCCTAATTGCATTAGGCTCAGAGGGTAGCTCTGACATTTTAAATTAAAGCCTATCGACGTTGCAGCCAGATAAATGGCCTAACCTTTGTGTGCTTGCTCAGGAAAAGATGTTATGGATTACTAGTTAACTCTAAGTTACTCATTAGGAAATTTAGATGTAGTGAGTAAGTATTTTTGATAACGCTATCATAACCTTCGCCGCTTGGCGCGGGTGGGTTGTCAGCAGCATTTTGGTCATCTCCTCCTAAGGCATACCTAACGCTGAGGGAGATCTTGGTGACAACCTGAGCAGAGAAGGAGCATTGGAGGCAGGCTTGTCCGCAGTTGTGGAAGCGTCTGCTGTGGGCTAAACCAATCAGGGTTAGAAAATCCAATAATGATTCTCATTCCGTGACATGGGTCAACTTATCTGGCAATAACGAGTTTTCCTAACCTGGTCAGGAAGGAGAAAATACGCTTCCCCAGTGTCTGTGGGGAAAAAAGAATTTCTTTTGAGGCAAGCTGTTGTTTTCCTTCGCAGCAGAAGGTGTATAGTTCAAATGTTGCTGTGGAGGTCTCTTATTTAGACCTCGGGATGGAAAGGATTTGGCACCAGAAGTGGGTTTTCTTTCAGGCTACGCAGCCCAGGAAAGCGCAGACCGCTTTGCAACTTTAAGTTGAGTCGAACCTGTAAGGATGACTTCATCACTGTGGATTTTTTCCCTCTCTTCCAGGGTTTGGGCCGTTTGGAGAGCACGCTGTGAACGCCAGCTGGATTGCAGTCCAGGTAACGCCGTGACTTTGTTCTTAGCGAGTTGAAACAGCGCCGTGCTGATAACGTATCCGTACCGACTCTGGTTTGCAGCTCTTTTCTAACTGGTCTTCCCAGTTTATGAACCGAGACCAGCTCGCTGCAGATACCCAGATGGTCAGCTGGATAATGTTTGAGTCACTGCTCGGAAAACAATCCCTGAGCTGGTGGAGTTTCGTGAGACTGAGTTAATGTAGCTGAGGCAAGTAAGGAATTCATAGGCTGACTCCCTAGACTGGAAAGATGTTAAACGGGGCGGGGAGCCTGGAATCTTCCTCTGCCGGAGAGAATTCAAAATAAATAAACAAACCGACCCAGAAGAATTTTGATGGTTTTTTTTTTCCTCTCGGCTCTAGCTTGAATCTGGGCAAGCTGGTTAACCTTTAAGGCAAGTCTGATCCACAATGAGATTTCTACCTGGTAGTCCTGGGGACTGGAGCGTGCCGCAGGGACGTCCAGCGCGAGCCCCAACGTCGGGACTTGGGCTCCAAAGCAGAGCAGCCGCCGCTGCCTCCGCTCTCCCCTCCCCTGCTGAAAAAAACGCGGGGGGGGAGGGGGGGGTTCGGGCAGTGTTGGTGGCTGCGGAGCAGCCTCCTCTCTGCTGAGAAGCAGCAGCAAGGGATGCTGGCGTGAGGGAGCTGGGCCGTGCTGGGCACAGGGGCGCTCGTGGAGGATCGTTGCTCGAGCAGATCGTGTGCGCTCGCGCGAACCAAGTTTGTGCCGCTTGTAGCTGCAGATCTGCACGAGCGTGTAACCCTGTCTGTGTAACCCTGATACATTCACAAACGAGGCAAGAAGAAGAAGAAGAAGAAGTAGTTAAAAGTCTTGCCAGGCACCCAGCTAAACTAAGGAATGAAGGTCGCTTGCTGTAAAAGCAGTAGCTAGGGACAGTGCTGCCGCCTTATCCTGCTTCTTGCTTATTTGTCACTTCTGGATGTGGTTTATGGCAAAGCTACTGGGAATTCCAGGGTACCTTTTAGTAGAGTTGCCCAGGGAATTAAATCTATTTTTCTCCCTAACACATCTCTCTTCCCTTCAGAGCTCTGAGATTAATACCTTCTTTAGAATGCTTTTAAATTAAATCACAAACTCTGATCAATTACAGTCAACTAATGTCCAGATGTCTAATGTGTTGGCTGGTATGAGAAGGTGAAACCTTTGCCTCCAGGAGCCTTTTGGGAATGAATATATTTGAGTTAGGTTTTGCTCAGTTTGAGTTTGGGGGGAAAATGCAAGCTGTGGCTGTGGAAAAAAATAAAATAAAATAAAATAAAATGTCGTGTTGCTGAAATTTCGTAGCGAGGCTAATTGATTTGGTTTGTTCTCACTCGTGTAGCGTTGGTTACTGTAAACGAGCTACTTTTATTCTAGAGGAGGTAGACAAAAGGGGATTGTGCTCCTGGGACAGGAAGAGTGGTGGGTGTCCCGATGTTGCTCGCAAACCCAAACGTGACGTCTCATTCCGATGAAGAGAAATGGCGTGTCATTCCTGCAGCCCGGCAGCTCGAGGCCCTGGCGGCTGCTCCGCTGCGTGGCTGGTAGATGAAGGAATCACTTCATCCGTTTTAAATTCGTTTTAATGGGCTTGGGGGGTGTTTTGGGTGCGCGAAACTACCGTCGGGGGTGCGCGATCTGCTGCTGGTGGGAGCCCATCTCCCTGTGGAATAGCTCGCGCTCGCTTCTGCCTCGAAACATCCCCTTCCAGGCAGCGGGGAGGATTTGCCTTTCCTTACCCCGTCTCAGCCCTGAGAGGCCCAGACAAAAAGGAACAGCATGTCTTTGAGCACATGCGAGTTGGGCATTGTGCAAGTTTCAGACAGGGGACTTCATGGAGCTGAGTGGACACAAAGGCGTGTCTGAGTTTCTGAATCCCAGACGGTGTGATCTGCATTTTAATAGAAGAAAAATCAATTAAACAATCTTTGTAAATCCTTTCTAGCTTTAGGGCTAAGCTAGTTCTGGTTTATTACATCTTTTATTATCCTGCAGCCCGAGGATAAAAATTCTCTGCTTTTCTTTCCAGTCCTCTTTTTGGTTTCGTTTGGCTTCTTACATAGAGCAGGGATACGGTGCGGTGCGTCTTTCCCTTCTGGCTGCAGTGGATTTCTGCCGTAGCTGCTTGGTTTTGGGAGCTGAGCGGTCTTTACACGTGGGCACCTTAACCAGCGGCGGTAGCAATCTAATAATGTGGAGACGAAGCGTTTGGAGATTTTTTTATGCATGGAGGGGAGAGATTTCCTGCAAATTCAGAGTGAAGAACAACTTCTTTCTGCTTTCTTTGAAGCTTACAGTAAAAATACCCTGCGTTAACCTGGGTCTGCTGTTCTGCATTTTCATCATTTTAATATTTCGTCCGAGGAGGTTTTTTTCCAGCTGCAATTTTTTGCTTGGGAGGGACTTTCCTTTCAAGAAGAAGTTACTGAAACGGGCTTTCCGTTGGGCACGTTTGGCGGCCTCCCCGGTGTGACTTAGGTGTAGACACAGGTGTGCCCCGTGCTCCGCGAAGCTGATGGGCTCCTGCCTTCATCCCCCCGAAGTGCTTCTGGCTGAGCCGGAGGAGGAGAGGTCAGGGTGCGTTTTGACATTACTAAGGACAATTGCTGTCAGGGTGTCTAGACAGACCTGATAAGGATATTAGAGGCTGACAAAGACGACCATTGTTGAGGGGTCAGGGAATCGGTCAAACGTGTTCGTTTTTCTGTGTTTGTCAGGTATACAAGGCTGTGGGTAATAAGTTGTCTGGGGGCCAGCGTACATCTTTATCGCTGAATGGAAGGGCGCCAACGCTGTGTTTGGTTAAAAGAAAGTCGGGAATTTGTAAACGGAAGGTTTCGCGTCGCCTGGAGAAGGTGGCTGCGGCGGAGCGGGGCGGCTCGCGTGGCCCGAGGGTTCTCGCTCACTGTAGGCGCTCGTTTCTGCGCAGCCGGGAAAACTTGCCGCCGTCAAATTCGTCTTCAGGAGCTGTTTCACGCTCTTTAAGAGAAGTGATGATGGATTCCTATCAATTAACACTCTGGAGATCTTCCTGAAGAGACTGGCTTGTGTTTGAATGCTCTCATTTGTAAACTACTTACTTTATTAACGCACCACAGAAACCAGCTAACGTTTTGAGGGCAGATTTGTGTAAAGAAGATGTGATGAAACATCACTTAGCATCCATCTCTGGTAATGAATGTCTGTGTGTGCCAGACACTAATCAATACAGCAAGCCTTTAATATCAGACTTGCCCTCAGAGCCAGAGCAAGTGATTTATCATTGTTGCTCATATCTGCTGGTCCGTGGAAGTCTTACTCTTGCCTTTGCTGCACCTTTTAGTTATCTTAAATCTTGTTACACTGCCTGTGGTCTGTCCGTACAGGTGTGGAAGGTTTGGGTTTTTTCTTGGTAAAGAAACGACTCGTGCAGGAAAAAAAAAGGACACTAAGATACTGCTCACGTTTATGTCGAGGAGGTAGGATGGTAATGTGGGAGTCCAGAAACCTCAACTTGTCCTCTCCTTTCAGCTGTCTTTAATTTGAAGGAGATTTAAACCTAGGGAAATACCAGATTTGAAATTGAGTAAGCTTCGTTGAAAATAGCTACTCTACACTCCTTAGCCTGAAGATTGCAAGTATAATCTCTGTGGGCAGGAAAATAAAGCCGAAGAATCGCGTGAAAGAGCAGCTCTTGGCTCTGATCACCGAATCCGAACCTGGAATAGAGATAACTTAATCATTCAAGGATATTTTGAAATGCCCTTTGACAGTTTCATGGCTGCTTACGTCGCTTTTTCCACCTCAGATCCGTGAGAACAACCACGGCAGTTGGTGGACGCGAGAGCTGCGGGTTATTTTCTCGCTGATCGTGCAGCCCCCTTGGCGTTAGCACAAGCCATCACGTCGAGCGCTCGGCGCGGGTCAGCTTGCGTTTTCCAGTCGACACACGTCTGGGAGGAGAAGAGCAGCACCAGACCACAAGCTTCTGCTGCTTATTAACTTGTGAAGAACTGGAGGGCGTTCTCCCGAGTGGCGCGCAGGCCTGGCCAGAGAGCTGCGGGAGCACGCGGCTCCTGTCTTCAGGGAGAAGGGGGCACTTCCAGCTTCTTCCCAGAGGAGCCAAACCGTTAGCTGTTGGCTTTACGGCACGGACGGTCACTTACCAGTCTTGAAAAGCAGCTGGGAAGTTTTTCAGAGCGCCAGAAAATGCTGCCTTCCTCGGAGGGAAGCTTGGTCCGAGTTAGGGGCTGTTGGAGCTCGTTAAACACGATGGCTGCAGTCGCTTCAGCCGCTGGAAAAGTGCCTCGTGGTGTAGACATGCCCAGGGCTCCCAGGTTTGAGTTCAGCTGATGATTTTGTTTAAGAACATTTTTTTTTTTTTTTTGCAGAGGTTTCAGAGCACGTGGGTGTATCCTTTCCTTGAGTTCTTGAAAGTTTGGGTTTGATGGCTCCAAAAGGTTTCACTTCTGGGGAAGTCCTGTCCTGGGCTAGACTGGTAAAGTCTGAAGTACCAAACGGGCAAGCCTGGGCCTGAAGCCTTACTGGTGAGACTGGAGTGGTTGAAACGGAGACCAAAGAAGAACAAGGGGGAAGTGTCCAGGACCGTGGGCTGTATGTAGAGGGAACTCACCGTGTTGGGATGAAACAGTGTGCTTTCCAGTCAGGTATACTGGGTGGGAAAAAAAAAAGAAGATCTTTCCTGTTCCCTCTGGTTTTGAAGTCGTCTTTGCAAGGTGTTTAACTGACACTTTGTGTTTTGAAAGGTTTAAAGGAAGTTGGCCAAGTTTATTGCCTGGATATTTGGGGTGTTTTCAAGGCATGGCTTTAGTTAGTGTTATAGAGGGAGAAATAATTTACTGCGTTAGTTGAATCACTAAAGCGGTGACAGCTCTTGTTGCAAAATTCAGTGCGATATATTACGTATAGGTAAAGCCAGCGGTGGAAACACCTTTCACATTTTGGACACAGGCTGTGTACTATTCCAGATTCTGCCAAAATAAAAGTAAGACAAACACATTGAGGAGGGTGTTCCCGTGTGTTGCTTCAGCCTCTCATGTGAGGAGCGCTTGCTAATGCTTGTGGAGGCTCACAGACACAGAATCGCAGCCTGGTAGTGCTGTCACCGAACCCTGAGAGCTCTTTATCTGGAAACAAACGTGAATTTGCTCTCCAGGCCAGCAGTCCTGAGCGAGGGCAAGTTAGATGATGAAGGTCATCCTCCCGATTCTGCTTTCTTTACATAATTCTATACCTAGTTCTTTGAAGAAGCGACTATGACTATATACCTCTATAAATAACGTAGCCAACCTTTCTTTTGAGTGTGGGTGTTGCTGATAACTATTGTCAGTTAAATGTTGGTTTCTTTGCTATACACACATCAGAGCAAAACAAACGGTCCTGCGGGTGAAGACTGTTAACGCAGGTGGAGGTGCCTTTGTTGTTCCCCGTTGTGTTGGTGGGTTTTTTACAGGGTTATACAGCCTGTGGTGTCAGCTGATGGTGGTCCCTCCCAGCAGACTCCCTCTGCCGTTAAACCTTCCAGAAGTTTATCCTCTGCTGAGCTTGCGTCTGACCACCTTGGTTTTGCTTATTTCCTTCTGTCCGTAGGAGTTGGAGAAGCTCGGGCTGCGGGATGACGTGGATCTGCACGTCTATGAAGTCCCAGTTGAATACCAGACAGTGCAAAGGCTCATTCCTGCCTTGTGGAAAAAGCACAGTCCGCAAGTGAGTGAGTAAAGGGAGGAGGAGAAAAGCCTCAGCAAACGGCTGAAATCTGTCACGCTGACAGCAGCGAGCACAGGGTGAAATCCTGTTTTTAACGTGTGCTCGGACTGGCAGCATCCCTCCCTGGAGCTTTTCCTCTTTTTGTCATGAGAACCTGTGAATTTCTAGGGTTTTATAGCTCAGAATAGAGTGCTCCAATTCAGGGGAGCAGCCGGTGTGAAGAGGCAGCTGCAAGGGGCTGTCTGGACAGGTCGCCGTTGGGCCGTGCCACCGGGGCGGTGGGCTCGGCCGTGGAGGGGCCAACGTTCACTTCTGCCCTCGGTAAATGACGGTGGAGGCCGGGAAGGGGGTGAAACACAACGAATTGTTCTGTGCTGGACCCACGCGTTGGCTGACAAAACGACTCGTTGCCGTGCTGTCCGTGCCAGAACTCCCCTAACTCTCCACCGGTCGTTAACTGGGAAGAGC